TACCACTGATTCTTTTTTTTTTTTTTTTTTAATGTTTTTATTGATTTCTAGAGAGAGAGGAAGGGAGAGGGAGAGAGGCAGAAACATCAATGAGGGAGAAACATCAACATCTATTGGCTGCCCCCTGCTGGGAACCAAGCCCGAAGCCCCGGCATGTGCCCTGACTGGAAATCAACTGGTGACCTCTTGGTGCCTTGGTCAATGCTCAACCACTGAGCCACACCAACCGGGCTGATTATTTTCTTAGAATAGATTTCCTGAAGTGGAACTCTTAGGGCACTGGATATAAACATTTAAAAATCTTGTGAAACATACTGTCAAGTTGCTTTCCAGAAAGGTTATCCAGTCATACCCCACTGCCAGTATGCGAGATCAGCTCTCTTGAACGCTTTGTGTACCTGGCCTAGGAAGCTGTTGGGTCTGGCCCCTGGTTGCGGGGAAGATGAATGTGCTTTCTGGGCTTTGTGATTAGAGATTAGGAAGAGCAAGTCTTGGCTTAGGGATCAGAGATAAAACAGCAGCTCCATATTCTAGGCTTACTCACATAGCAGTCACTGTACACTAAGATAAAGAAGCCATTATCTGTCATGACAGAAGAAAGGGACCCCTGTATGAATGGGGTGGTTTGTGGTAGTGATTTGGAGTTGAGTTTTATAGATATGTGCTTATACCATAGAGCCAGTTTATTATTCTGATTACTTCCCCTAGAAGTTACCTCAAAACCGTTATTTTCTATTTTAAACCTCTCCAAATCTGTTATAGGTCAAAGGCTACTGTTGTTTAATATGATCTTGGTGGATTAATTTTCCTTCACTCATATCCATTCTTGGATAATATTGGCATAAAGATGTATTCTCTTCATCATGGTTTGTGTTTTTACTTGTGTACCTTCATTTATTAGAAAGCAAAAGACTTGCCTCTTCACATCTTTCTTCTGGAGACAGGTGTGATTTAGGCTAAGAAAGTTGTATTTTAGATTCTCTGCTATGCGGTAACCCTTCCCTTTCATCTATTTATCTCTGTCACAGGAGAAAGGCCGCAATGAAGGCCGACTCCTCAGTCTCTTGGAACAATCTGAGCACAGGACTGCAGGTGAGGACCCCAGGACCAGTTTTCTGGGCTTTTGGCTACGGCTTTCCAGTGAAAAGAACCACTGCCAACTCCTTATTTGTTGGAGTTATGTAGGTACACATTTGACCTAAGTTGCTGGCCTTTGAGATTCAGTTCAGGTCATCTCTCCCTGAGGAAAATGGGGAGATACCCTGTCTTATTCATCATGTATTTCATTTCAGGTTTTGTAAAGCTTAAACTTTTAGGACTGCCTGTTGAGCTGGGAAAATACATTTCCAGATGACAGGGCAATGATACAAGTCCCAAGTACCTTCTAAAGGAACAGCATGGGAAATCCGGCATGCCGACGTTACTGCCTCCTCCTAATGTTTTGTGCTTCATTCATATGTTACCTTTAGCTTAGTGTACTAACTTATGCTCCTGAGGGTTTGTAGGAAGTAACTCTGTCTCTTTGTGCCTAGTAATTAGGGAGCAGTAGAGTAGATTGGTTACGAGCATTGTATAGAGTTAGTAGTACCAACTTCACAGATTGCAAGGATTATATCTAGCAAAGCTCCAAACATACTCCCTGGCACGAGTAGGCCCTTGATAAATGTTAGCTGCTGTTATTACTGTGGTGGTTATTAGTTGCTATTGTTAAAATTCACTAGATGCAGATGGACGAGGAACTTTTGGGTAACCATTTCTGATGACTATAAAAAGGCAGCCTCTCTGAGCTGCCTCTCATGTCCTGCTGCCTCTAGATCAACAGGTTGTCATTCTCTGCAGGTGGCAGATTTCCCTTGGCAATTCCTTGTTCCTCAAGTCCAGATTTGAAGGAGATTTTATTCAGAGGTTGTTCACCTCAGTACTTCTGCAGCTGAGTCTGTTGGGTCCTAAATGCTCACATTCCATTCATCTGGGGATTGAGGAACTGAGCTACATGGATAGGCCTGATGAAAAGCAGTGTCCAGAATACAGGAAGCACATGATCAGTGAGAAGTGCTATGAGTACAACACTACTAACATTATTACTTTTTCTCTCCTATCACAGATGCAGAGATGAAGAACAAGTCTTCAGAAACAGTGGCCTTCAGGTGAATTGGGGTGTGCATTGAAGTGTGGCTGTCAGCAGTTCTAGACAAGTGCAGGCCTGGTCCTGGCTTCTGTGTATAGTGTGATATTCAAAATGTTGAAGGTAGAAATCACTGTGGACCTCTCTCTGCATACCTCTGTGACCACCCCCCACCCCCCACCCCCAATATCTTGGCTAAGAATTGAATAGTAGCTCAGTTCACCTATGGTGTTAAAACAAGTAGAGCAAAAGCTATTTCTTATTCCTTTCCACCTCTCTGTCCCCACCCAACTCTGCTGTTCTGACTTGGATTTCAAGCAGCTGGGAATTTGGGTCTGAATCCTCATTCTCTCACTGCCCAACTGTGTGGCTTTAAGGTATATGATTTACCTGGTGTCCTCATTTGTAAAAGGGGAATGGTATTACTTATCTGGTTGGATGATTACAAAGATTATGTGAATTAATAATATATGTAAAAGCCCCTGCTACAATGCATGACGCATGCTTAGTGCTTATTATTAGTAGGTGTATATTGAATTCTGAATTTGTTCCCCTTCTCTCTAGGGTACCCTCACCGGGGATGGAAGAAGCAGGCTGCAGCAGAGACATGCAGAGTTCCCTTGCACATCTTGACTTAAATGAGTCTCCCATCAAGTCTTTTGTTTCCATTTCAGAAGCCACAGATTGCTTAGTGGACTTTAAAAAGCAGTTTACTGTCCGGCCAGGTAGCCGGACACGGTCCAAAGCAGGCCGAGGAAGGAGGAGAAAATCCTGAATTTCTAGGGTCCGAAGGTTGACAAAACCATTAGCAGTAGGGATGGACCATGGTCATTAAGCTTTAGTGGCCCCCAGTTCATTGTTGAGCAAGTTTTGATACTACAGTTTCCACCACTCAGCATTCTGGTTTTTGTGTTTTCTATGATCTATACAAACAACTGTGTATAGTATTCTGTTTTATAACAGCTTGTTTGAATTCATTATAGTTAAAAGAAAATTTAAATATATTTATCTATGTATGAAATCTTATTTCAGTGAGATGGAGGTCTTCCTTTTTTCCCTCTGTGTTACAGGGTTTTGGGTGGGGATATTTTAATTGTGGGGCCAGTTCTCGGACTCATAATTACATGTTTCTGAATGAATTTTTTTACTGGTCTTTGATAACTGTCTATATTCACTGGATGTGTAGTGTACAACACCAAACATTGTGTGGTTATTCCCTTGACTTTTTCTGACACCATTCTGCAAGGGGCCAGGGCACTGAATTCTGTTCTTTATCCTGCTATCCCTACTGGTAGTTCAATGACCCATTACTTCATTTCGTTGCCTCACCCAGTTAAGAATTCTTAGCCAGCCCTGGCTGGGTGGCTCAGTTAGTTGGAGTGTCGTCCCGTGCACCAAAACGTTGCAGATTGGATTCTTGGCCAGGGTACATCCCTAGGTTGTGAGTTTGATTCCCAGTCAGGGACATGTACGGGAGACAACCGATTGCTATTTCTCTGTCACATCAACATCAATGTTTCTCTTTTTTCCCTTCCTCTCTCTACACATATCCCCAAGTGAGGATTAAAAAAAAAAAAAAAAAGAATTCCCAGCCAGAGCATAGGACCTTTGAGGGATATGTCCTGCCATTCTTTCCAGGAATTTGTAAGTGAGCACTCTGTTTTTAGTTACTTCCTATGCAGTTATTTTCTTTCCTAGTTTAACCACTGGAGATGCCAGGCATATTCACTATTAAAACCACAATTGGTTCTCTTGTTGTCAGAGGTCACAGCAGTAACAGGAAATAGGTTCTATTTCAGTACATTAGTAGAAAGTGCACATTCTCATTCACATTGCCCAGGAGCTTCCAGAGCAGAACAGAGATGTGGTCTGTTGTCAGTGCATGAGCAGTCTTGGAGGGTGTTGGATGGCAGAAGGACTATCTGAAGATGACCAAACAAGGATGTTAGAAAAGCTAGCTTTGGCCCAATCTGATTTGAAGATGTAATGAAAAACTGTGGGAGGTGGTTGGTGAACAGGAAAGGATCCTGGGACAGGATAAACAGGGACATAGTCAGACTCTCCTAACTTCTGATTTATCAAGTCCAAAGTTACCTTTTCCTTTATTTTAAAATGAAAATGAGGTGTGTGTGAGACTGGGGAGCTCAGAGATAGCTAGGATGGAAGGCGCAGCATAGGCCTTTAAGGAAGGCACTGTTTCCTGTCTGGGTGCCTTGCACGCAAGACCTTTCAGTTAGAAGGCGGGATGGCTGGCTCACTGTCCATTCCTTCCATGCCTTGGTGTTGGATGGCACTCACGGTGAGGCCAGCATCACATAATACCAGTTAGATTTTGAGCAACTACTATGGTTCAGGCAGTGTATGTACCTTCATTTAATCCTCACAGCAGTCCTGTGAGGTAGGTATTATCCTCCCCAAGTTTCAGATGAGGAAACAAAGGCTGAGAACAAATAAAGCCACTTATTGTCGATGGCAGTGATACTCCAGTGCCCCTCCTCTTGACTCCTAAAGAAAATGCTATATTTTGACTCTAGTATTATTTTCCTTCTAATGAAAATTAGTTTATCAATTATGTCCCATCAGCTTAACTCTCACTAGTCTTCTCATTAAATAGCAATTTATTGGAGGTGTTCTACAAGTAGGAGATAGTATGTTATCTTTTGCCTAAAGATAAGAAACAGGAAAGGGCTGATTCCACAAAGTGAATTATTTAGCTTAAAACTGAGCAGTCTACTAGAACATGAGTCAGTGGCAAGTTGTTGGAGGAGGGTGTAGATAAGCAGGACCGGCGACAACAAGCTTTTTGTTAGTTAATGGGATTGGGGAAACAGCCACTTCCTCAGTTCCCCTTCCCCATCCCCCACTATTTTTTGGTAAAGGCTGCTTGTCTGTCTTATCACCCCTCCTCCACTGGTGGTCCTGTGGGAGGGGCATTGCTGAGCCGGTGCGGAGACAAAGTCACTGGAAAGAATGTCATACCAACCTGAGTCTGAACTCCTGCTTCTGATATAAGTTAACCTTTCTGAGATCTAGTACCCTTGCCATAAAATGGGAAAAAATCTTACAGTGTTCTCAGGGTTAAGATAATGTGTATGAAGGCATAGTATCTGTCACATATAACATGATGCTAGTTTTGTATGTCATAAATAGTGTTACAGTGAGAGGTGGAAAAGCCAGAGAGAGGGGTGGGGTGCAGGGAGAGGAGGAAACAGCTCTTAGAAGAGTGAGCCATCTACCTTAGCTCCATCAGCCACTAGCCTTCCACAGCAAGCTCAAACCCTGGGTATCTAGAGCTCTCCGAGGGGCCCTGGTGGGTTTTTTGCTTTTTCCAAGATGAGAATCACCTGTTCTTGTGTTGCCAACTCGTGGAGATCTAGGAAGCTCCGTGAACTTCACAAGTGGTTGCCATAAATTGGGAAAGAGAGGAGACTTTTCTGTGTTAGGCATTATGATTGTTATTTCCTCTCATCCCTCTAATAGCAGAGGCAGTGCCTTGCCCATTTCCCCTGGGTACTCACCGTTCTAGTGCATACCACACATGGTCCTATTGCAAGAACCTTTGACTCTGCCGTAGCACTCTTCTAGGCTTGTGTGGCACAGGCTGGTTGAGCCAGGTAATTAGGGCCCCCGAAGCAGCCCTCAGCCAGTGCAAGATGAAAGTTGGATAAATACCACAGCTTCCTCACCTCTCATGTGAGTGCATTTTAACCAGCTCCCTGTAGGGCTTAGCTCGCAGCAGCAACTTGATTACATACGCTCATTGGCTTCCTTCCCTTCCTACTTCACTGTCAACTCCCCTGTCAGTGCTTCCTATATCAGGGCCGGGGCTAGCCGGCACTCTTGGGTTTACGTAAGGGTGAGGTTGACACTTTTGTGAACTCGAGGGCGTCTGGAAATTCTGTAGCAGGGCACCTTACATGCATCATCCTAATCCCAGCCCTGGCCTGGATAGCTTCCCAGTTAAGCTGTTTGCACTCAAATTTGATCTAATTCTGGGGAACCCAAACTAAGGCAAATGCTATGGAGAAATTAGTCTCCATGTTTTACACACAAACTGAGGCTCAGAGAAGTGAAGAAATATGCCTAAGGTCCTACAGCTGGTAAATGGGATGGTATTTGAACCCAGGTCTGTCTGACAGCAGAGCAAATGCTCTCTCTACTTCACATACTACCTCCTACCTTTTCCGTTGAGTCACAAAACAGTGGAGATTTCAGATTTGGATGGGCTCCTTCCCACCTGTGAGTCAGGGCGGCTTTGGCCCTAAGTTGATTTAGCAGGTAGAGACCAGCGGAAGGGGAAGGCAGGTAGTGCTAGGTGGATAGTAGTACCAGTGGGAAGATGTGTAAACCTAGTGGAAAGGCCACTGAAACCATAGGCACTAGGAAGGCAGGAAGAGGTTACTAATTTCCTCTCAGTTTCAAAAGCCCTGGGCTATTGAGGTTGTGGGAGGGCTCAATTTAACAAAAATTAACATACTTACACCTTGTCTGGTCTAGAACTGGGTCCCACAGCTCTAAAGATGAATGAGAAGCATATACTTGGAGCCCACAGTTGTCAGTGCAACGATGGGAGAAAATCCAAGACACTATGGGATCCATAGGCCACTGGGGTTAGGGCCAGGAGGAGTTTATAGGGGAAGCATCGAGCATCGGGCGGTGACTGAAGTGTGATTTAAAGGTGGAAAGGCTGGAAAGGGCAAAGAGGGAGTCATCCCAGAGAGATCAGCATGAACAAAGACCTAAGAGTAAAGCAGCTTGATGGATGTAAAAGCTGCAAGGCACAACCTGGCATGGAGGGAACTGTGGGGAGCTTATTGAGTCTGTTGGCCTTGTTGCGGGACACTGCCTGCTGTGAGAAGCAAGCCTGGGGGCAGCTCAGAGCAGGGAGGGTCTGGCTCCTAGCCCAGCAGTAGTACTCTGGCTGTGGCCCACCTTTCCTCCCCATTTCTTAGTTCCTTCTGGACAGCTGGAGATTGGCACTAAGGGGCTGAGAGAGCCTTGTCAGGATTTGTCCTTCCCCTTGTTGGTCAGTGGCCATCTGGTGTCTGAAGAGGACTGCTGGCCACTGCTGTGCTTCTTGCTACAGCCAGGATTGTCAGCTGTTCACAGACCTCAAGTCCAGGTTGCCTCCTCCCTCCAAAGGCCCTGACATAGACCTTCCCTGACACTTAGCCTAGGGTTCTGGGACTCCTGCTCCTGGGGAGATGGACATAAGATTTCCAGAAACAGACGAGGAGCCCTGCATTGCTTGTCAGGGGCATATCTTCACTCTGGCTCGGGACTGCAGACTGGCTGTCAGCATGAATCACAGCTGGGCCTTTCACATTCAGTTCCATGTTCTCCTCTCCCAACTGAACAAAGACGAACTCCAGGCTAGGCAGGGTACTGTCATGGATGACTGTCCTCTCCACTTCCAGCCCTGAGTTTCCTGCCTTTCGGGGCCTGATTGGTACCCAGTGAACTATGCAGCAGGGCTGATGTCTGGCATTTCCAGGCCCAGTCAGTGCCAAAACTCATACAAAAGCTACTGTCCCTGGTCTCCATCATCCTGTTGTCATGTGGAAGTCATGTACTATCTGTGGATAACGGTAGGGTTACTGCTGATGAGGTAGCCTGAAGTTTTAATTTTTTAAAATATTTATTGATTTCAGAGAGAGGAAGGGAGATGGAGAGAGAGAGAGAGAGAGAAACATCAATGATGAGTCAGCATTGTTTGGCTGCCTCCTGCCCCCTCCCCCCCCAGTGGGGATTGAGCTAGCAACCTTGGCATGTGCCTTGACCGGGAATCGAACTGCAATCTCCTGGATCCTAGGTCGATGCTCGACCACTGAGCCATGCCCGGCCCGGCTTGGCTTGCCTCAAGTTTTAAAGTATCTGCCCACCAGTTTTCCTGAAACAAAAATTGGTGCAGTATGTTGTCTTCTACCATGGTGGATGTCTTAGTTCTATTGGGCTGCTATAACAAAATGCCACAGACTGGGTAGCTTATAAACAATTTATTACAGTTCTGGAGCCTGGAAGGCTGAGATCTGGGTGCCTGCATGGTCAGGTGAGGGCCCTCTTCTGGTTGCAGACTTCTGGTTGTGTCCTCACGTGGTGGAAGAAATGAGGATCTTCTGGAGCCTCTCTCATGAGGAGACTAATCCCTTTCATGAGGG